CGTCCCGTCCCATTGGCCGACGCCGCCTGGGCAACGTCCGGCCGCAGGTAGAAGCGCTCTAGGGGCGTTCCCGTGTGTCCGGTCGCAGCCCGCAGCTCGCTTCTGTCTCCCTGCCGGCGCTGGCGCTGCCCAGGGACGGGTACCAGGAGTAGGGCACAGCGGAGAAGGCTGTTGGTGCTCACTGCGGTGCAGCCTAAGCCCCGTTGTCAATGCAGGGCAGCACGCGCCTGGTTTATACTGCGCTAAGCAAGCACAGGGCAATGGGGGACTGGGCGCTGTCCCGGGTGCTAGTGCTATCTCTTTCCCCAGCACTTGGGAACAGCACAGCATGGCTCAGCTAGGGCACTGCACTCGTCACTAAGTGTAGAGTGGTGTGTGTGTGCGCGCGTGCACACGTATGTGTGCACAGTCCGTCTGCCCTCGTGCGCAGTTTACTTTCAAATGACATAACAATGCATCCTAGATCATTTACCCCTACCCCACTAGTAGCCTACGAACTGCTTTTGTGAGCATCTAATTGTCCTGTGCAGCTGTGCCAGAAACAACGCGCAAACAAAGCAGCGGTCCTACCCTGCTATGGGCAGCCTTGAAAGGAAGGGGCACTCGTCCCTCCCACGGTTGCTCCTTCCCTAGCATTGACCGTGTTGTGCTGCAATGCAGGATGCATACCTGCGCGCATGCTGCATGGCGCGCGGGCTCCTGCTGCATGGGCAGCGCTGCGGCAGCACTGGTACCGCCGGCAGTAGTCTCGGAGACCTCAGACGGACCTGTATACATCAAGGACCAACTTCTAATATAAGAAAGCCATATCCAATAATCCTTTGACCTATATCAGCAGAATAACTGTGGTTGATCTTTCTTTTACATTTTTTAAACACAAAATGAGTATATCCCTGCCCAGCTTCTCAACATTTCCACATAAGCACACCTACATACCTATTGTAGGTTGTAAATTTATTCCGAGCGTCATGGCAGTCTGCATACTCAGACACAGCAGGTGCAAGTGGTAGAAATCTAGAAATTAGAGGTATTATAACATAATGCAATGTTCCAACTACCCTGATAATGCTGGTAGTCCAGAGATGGACTATTCGCTATTGAGTTTGTGTTGCAGTTACCAGCATCCATTGGCGAACACGCTGCTTGATTGTTTTTTATCAGGAAACCATAAACTAAAATCTGAAAGAGGATATTTCCAACAAGGAATCCTATCTGGTTCTTTGCAGTCTCCAGGGAAGCCTGAGACTATGCTCAGGTTACCCAGTAGAGAAACACTGGGAATCGTATAAAAGGCCCAATGCAGATGCACAAGCAGCAAAAGAAATAATTTTGCATTCATATAAATATAGATCACCTTTGGCAAACTTAAGACAGAAAGTGTGTAAGGATATTCAGATAGCCTCAACCTAGGATTGGGTGCTGCTTTCTTCAGAAAGAATAATTCATACAAATCTAAGTGCTTTAAAGAACAAGATCAAGATGCCAAAATCTTTCAAATGGCTCAAGAGCCATGTTAAGATCCTATCAAGTAACCTTTAACTGGACCGTCTCTACTGTAAGGAGGAGAACAACACTGCACGACAGAGAAGGCAGCAGCTGTCTAATGCTAATGCAAACTGCTTTGCTGACCAGAGAAAGCCACAGACAAAATTACTAACAGAAAAAAACACCAGAAGGGAGCTGAAAGGGATGACAGGTTTTGCCGTCCTTAAAATTCATCAATCCCTACAGGATCCATCATGAAA